ATCATGCTAAAAAGCTTCCGTACAGTAAGGACACCATCAGTAAAACAAAAAGGCACCCTACAGTGTGGGAGGATATATTTGGAAATGACATGTCCGAAAAGGGGTCAACATCCAAAATATATAAAAAGCTCACAGGCCTCAACACCCAAAAGGCAAATAACCCGATTAAAAAATGGGCAGAGGATCTTCTCCAAAGAAGAAATTCAGATGACCAACAGGCACATGAAAAGATGCTTCACATCACTAATCATCAGGGAAATGCAAATTAAAACCACAATGAAGTATCACCTCACACCAGAAAATACTAGGAACAACAAATTCTGGTGAGGATGTGGAGAAAGGGGAACCCTCCTACACTGCTGGTGGGAATGTAAATTCAACCACTGTGGGAAGCAGTATGGAGGTTCCTCAAAAAACTAAAAATAGAAACACCATTTGACCCAGGAATTCTACTCCTAGGAATTTACCCTGAGAATGCAGGAGCCCACTTTGAAAAAGACAGATGCACCCCTATGTTTATCGCAGCATTATTAACAATAGCCAAGACATGGAAGCAATCTAAGTGTCCATCAGTAGATGAATGAATAAAGACAATGTACATATACACAATGGAATATTATTCAGCCATAAGAAAGAAAATCCTACCATTTGCAACAACATGGATGGAGCTGGAGGGTATTATGCTCAGTGAAATAAGCCAGGCGGAGAAAGACAAGCACCAAATGATTTCACTCCTCTGTGGAGCATAAGAACAAAGCAAAAACTGAGGAAACCAAACAGCAGCAGACTCACAGAACCCAAGAATGGACCAAATATTGCCAAATGGACTAACAGCTGACTGGGGAGGACGGGTGGAAAAGGAGGGAGAAGGGGAATAAGGGGCATTACGAGTAGCACACACGACGTAGGGGGAGGCACGGGGAGGGCTGTACAGCACAGAGAAGACAGGTAGTGACTCTACAGCACCTTACTATGCTGATGGACAGTGACTGTAATGGAGTATGTGTGGGGGGGTACTTGCTAATGGGGGGAACCTAGTAACCACAGTGTTGCTCATGTGGTTGTATATTAATGATACCAAAATAAAAAAACAAAAAATAAAAAACCTTAAAAAAAAATCAGGTTGGGGAGGGATGGGGTATAAACAAGGGCAGGGGTCTGGAGGGGCTGGCACTGGTCCTTCTGAGCAGAAGAGGCTCAGGATGGTCCAGGGGGCAATCACGTGGCCACGAGGAGCCAGAACATCCACAGGACCAGCCTGGGCAAGAGGCAGAAACAAACTGCAAAGCCCTAAATCTCAGGCATGTTGAAGGTTCCTTGTGACTGACTGTCAGGCCTCCCACCGTTGGGTTCGGGAGCCTGGAGTAAATCAAAAGCCAATTATGTGACCTTCTGTAGAATAAATTAATATTCCCTATTAAACACAGAATAACTTTGCTGACATGTAGTTAAGTATAGGACTTAGAATTTCTAAGTCCCAAAGAAGAATATTTCTTGAAGGTCTCAGGAGTAAGTCCAGAGATTTCTTAAGTCCACTTATTCGTCTCCAGATCTTCCAGAACAATCTCTTAATTGGGCTTTTCAGACTCTTACTTCCCCCTTCACTGAACCTAGAAAAAGCTTTCAAAAACAACTATGATGACTGCTATTCTGTGGCTTCTACAACCCACAGGACAGTCAAAAGCTGTTTACAGGTTTATAAAGCTGTCTCAGTCCAAGTCTTGCCTAGAGTTCATGGTCACTGACAACAGCCCACCCCTCGGCTTGCCGTCCAGACCGTCAACACCAGCAGAACAGCGACGCGGTGTCATGCACTTACTGCCCGAATGTGGTGCCCGCAATGCTGCAAGGCGGAAGGGATGAGCATGGAGCACGGGGGGAACGACCTACAGCCAGGCATGGAGGCATCATGTGCACTGGAGGGAACAGCAAGACGGAAGCAGACAGGGAGGCCGGAGCTGCTGTGCGACCCCGGGCAAGTTGGCTCATCACTCTGAGCCTTGGTCTTCTCAGGACCCTCACTTCACAGAGCTGTGAGAATTTAATTAGGTAATGCATATGTGCTCAGAACAATGTTGGCACATACTGATTGCTAAATACATGCTAACTTTCATTGTGACTTCTGTTATGTCATATGATCAGGCCTGAAGATTACTGTGCCTTTGGCTAGCATCAACCTTCCTCAGACCTAGGAACGACCACGTGTCATCTTATGGCAAAGCAAACCCTGGGGAGCATTAAGAGCTCAAAGATCAAGTAGCTGCCTCAGAAAGCCAGCAGATGTGCTCAGATCAAAACACCCCCATGCTGGCGTAATAGTTCCCTATTGCTCCAGTAACAACTCAGCACAAACTTAGTGCCTTAAAAACACAAATGTGTGATGCTGCAGTTTGAAGGTAGGAAGTCCAGAGCGGGTGCTGCAGGCTAAGTCACGTTGCAGGCACAGCTGCCTTCCTCCTGGAGGCTCCAGGGGGGATGTGCTCCTTGCCTTTTACAGCTTCTGAGAGGCCATACTTTCCTCAGCTCACGCCTCACCCTTGATCCTCAAAGCACAATTAAGAAGACATTAGAAGGGAACTGCAAATTACAGTCTCCTATAAACAAAGATGCAAGAATTCTTCACAAGATTTTAGCAAACTGACTGAAATAACATAAAAAATAATGTATCATGACCAAGTAAAGCTTATCTCAGGAATGCAAGGCTGATTTAAACACCTGAAAACCATTCACAGGCTTCAGACACAAAAAAACAAACAATAAGATTATTTTAACATGAAGAGCAAGCAATAAAAATTGGATTCCATTTATGATTAAAACACACACATACACAAACACACACATACAAACTCTAGATAAAATAGAAAGGAACTTTCCTAATCCCAAAACCACAGTTCACTTTATAATGAATCGTGAAATTCTGAAAACTCTCCCCTTGAGTTTGGGAAGATGAGAAAGACACCCAATTCTACTCAACAGTGTATTGGAAGCCCCAGCCAGTACAATAAAATGAGAAAGAAATGAAAGGTGTGAGGATCAGAAAGGAAGAAACAAAACTGTCAGGAGATGATGTAATTGCATACATAGAAAAACCTGAAAAAAAAAAAAAGGAAAAAAACCCTATAGAAAACTACCAGAATCAGTAAGTGAATTTAGCAAATTTTACAGGAGAAAGATAAATATATGAAAACCAACCATATTTCTAAATAGCAGCAACAATTAAAACTTGAAAATCAAACATTTTATAGTTTAAAAGGAGCACAGATGCAGGAATAAAAATCAATGACACGCAAGGCTGGTACCCAGAGAACTATGGCGTGTCACTGGGGGGAGCAGAGAGGGTGGGAGCAAAGAAGAGGTACGCTTCTTCAAAGAGAGAAAACGTGGTATTATTACAATGTCAATTTCCCCCAAAGTGATCTATAGAATCAATATAGTCTCAGTGAAAATCCCAGCAGGGTTTTTTGTGTGTGTGAAAATTGACAAATTTAGAAAGACACTGGTCCAAGAATAGTTAAGACAATAAAAAAAATAAAAATAAACAGCTGAAATACTTCAAAATCTGAATCCAGACTTAATTGTAAAGCTATGATACGAAACTGTGATTTGGTAGAAATATCGACTAACAGACCAAAGAAACAAAATAAAGCTCCAGAAGGCACCCACACGTACAGACACAGTTTACGATAAAGGGGACCAGGCAGACAGTGGGGGAAGGATGAGATCTTCAGTAAGTGGTAGAGACTCAAATGGATAATCTTGCAGAAAAAGAGGCTTGACCTCAACATCTCATACCTTAAAAATAAATTACAGAGTGACTGAAAATCTAAAGGTAAAAGGTAAAATCATAGGATTTGTAGAAAAGCACACCAAGCATATCTTCATGATGGTGTGGGTAAGGAAATTTTAAACAGGACCCAAAAAGCACTAAAAGAAAAAGAAAAATATTGATGAATTCTGCTATATGAAAATCAAGAATGTCTGTTCTTCAAAAGGCACCATTAAGAGAGTGAAAAGACTGGTTACTGAATGGAAGAACATATTTAAATTACCATAACCAACAAGGGACTTGTATCCAGAATATATAAATAATTTCTATAAATTGGAGAAAGCTGGTTGGGTGAGGACAAAAAAGTAAGCTAATAGATAAATGGGCAAAAGGTTGAAACAGGCACTTCATGAGAAAGTATACCCCAATGCCCAATAAACATAAAAGTAGTATTCAAAGTAATAAGCAACAGGGAACTATAAAACCACAGTCAGATTGCTTTACAAAACATAACAATGCCAAGTGTTGGCAAGATTATGGAGCTACTTGTATTTTTATATTTTGCTGTAGGGACTGCAAATTTATTCAACTGTTTGGAAAAACTATTTGGTAATATCTAGTAAAGCAGATCAATTGTATTTCTATGACCTAACAATTACGCTCTCAATTTTCCACATTTAAATCATCTTATTTTAATACATTTATGAACAAGTAAGGAATAAATTAAGTTGAGGTTTACTCTGAAAGCAATACATACCTTAAATAGACAGGCAGACAGACAGACAGAAAGCAAGCATCAAATATGTTCCATGGAAAAGTAGGAAACCGATGGGATTCCCCAGTAAGTAACAAATCATGAAAAGGGTCTCTTAAGAAGCAGGGTAAATATGAAACCTCCTTTGTTCACAGATATGTAAATGTTGCCTTTATTTTGAAACATCCAAGGATTTATCTTATAAACACAGGTAAATACTAGGTATTAGCTAATATTTTTCCCTAGTGTCATCTGAACCTTACTTTACCCATCTCCCCACCTTGCAAAAAAAGTGGTATTTGTCTAAGGTCATTTAATTCATCCAAGGTCCCCCAACCCCTCCCTGACCCATACTTGGAAAATTCCCCATACTTTCAACTTTAAGGGCCATGCCGTGAGCCTGCTGTGCTGAGGGGGGCGACACAGCTGTATTTGTTAGCTACTGACTAAGTGCACACCTTACAGGGAAAAAGATCTCACCACTTTTGCTGGAACTTGTTCCATTTTTGCAGCAGGAGTCCCTGGTCTTGGGTAAAACTGGTTAATAAAGAGGCTTGGAAATTTGTACTCCTCGACAAGTTTCACTGTTTCTTGAAAATCTTGATCTGTTTCTCCAGGAAAACCACAGATAATATCTGTAGCAACAGTTATTCCAGGCACTCTAGAAAACAAGATAAAGATGTACAAAGTTGACTACAATCCACAATTACTCTATTTCCTTGACATTTTAAATACCATTATTCCTTTAAAAATTGAATTTTATTTTTATGAAAGGAACATTTGCAAATAGATTTAAACAGCCCAAAGTTCTAAAAGTTTATGAACACCTGTGGCCCCTGACATTTTAAATTATTTTAGATGTTTCTTTGTTCTCCATTCTGTATTTTAAAATAGATGTTTATTCTAATTCTAGACTTATTTGATTTGAGGCAACATTACTGACTTCTCTTTTATGCTACAGGAGGTCTTGGCTCTGCCTGCCCCCGTCCCCTCCAAACATAATCGCTGCACAAGTCTTAGTAAAATTCACAGTATTTCCACTGATAAAACTGCAAAGATACTGCTCACTGCGCAGCCAACTGCTGTATGTTTTCTTTTGTCACAACAACTGCCTCTTATTTAAAACTCTGCCTAATAATCTATGCTAATATTTTCCAGAAGCTTTGTTACATCTATCAAAAACTAATACTGTTTTCTAAACGCTCGATATACTACGTAATTCACCAATTCCATTTTTTAACTCTGAAACACCGCTCCTTCCTCCTTCGAGGGCGCGTGGCGTCTGCGACGGAGCCGTCGTCACCACCGAGCACTCCTCCTTGGTCTCCTGTTTTTCAGTCTCTTTCTTGGATCCTACGTCTTCCTAATTCTTAATCATCCCATTTTCCTTAATTCTGCAGGAGGATTTTCTCAGAAGCTTCATCAGAAACACTGCCAGATAAATTGTATCATTTCAGCACGTGTGAACGTGTCTGAAGCCACACTACTGAGTAATAACGTGGCTGTGCAGAGAACCCCAAAATGGAAAGGCCCGGCCCTCAGGACCTCGTACCGCTCTGCTTCTGTTAAGGTGGCGAAGTGGCGGATGAAATGTCCAGCTTCACTCTGATGCAAACTTGTCTGTATGTGTTCTGCTCTCTTTCTGAAAGCTTTCAGGGTATTACGTTTATTCTCAATGTTTTTATATGTCCTGACAACAGGTATCGGATTGAGTATTTCAATCCCTGTAAAGACTACAATCCGGACACTCAGTCTTTTTAGGTCTTAGAAATTTTTTTATTTTTTAAATATCATTTTCTTCTCTCTCTGACTCCTTTTCTTTGAGTGTTGTAATTACTAGATTGACTCTCTAAGTTTTTTCATTATTATTTTTCATCTTTGTCCTTTGTTACATTTTCTGGAAGATTTACTTGAGTTTATCTTCCAACTCTTCTACTGAAAAAAATTGAACTGAATATTGTATTTGAGATTTCTAAGAGTCCTTTCTTGTTTTCCAGTTTTTCTTTTTATAGCTTACTGCTTTGTTTAGAGAGAAAGCTTCTTCCCACTCTGACAATATCAAAGTCTTTCACAATTTTTCCTCTGCTCACAAGAATTGTGTCTAATTTCTCGAGGTCAGATTTTGGTCCCTCTCATTCGTGATTGAGACTTGCTACCAATACATAGTGATTTTTGCTGCCCTTTAATATTCAGGGTAAAGCACTACAAGCTTTTCATCATAGTGACTGGGCAACAAGCTGCCTTTGTTTTTGAGGGTCCCAAATGTCAGTGTCTTGGAAGCCATTTTTCAGTGACTGCTGAGTTTCTCAATAAGTATGTGACAATATTCTACTGTAAATCAACAGTATAACAATAACAAAATAACATTAAGATTTAGAAACTCCAATATTATTTGAATCTATGAAGAACAGAAAAAATAGTCTCAAATGTTTCAAATCATAGCATAACTACCTATAATTATAATTACAGTTTTTCTATCAACTAAATACAATTCTATATGGATGAATAAAACAGCTTATCTCATTAAAATATATTAGATACTTGGAGGCGTAAGAGAGCAAAGGATATAAAGATGAGGAAAGTCAAACTACTGGAAACAACCAGCTTCCTGAAAATGACAGCTTTCTATACCTGTTTGCATAATACTTTAGTGTCTCAGTGAACAAGAATGAGAAATTTAGTTTTAAAAATATTTCTTTCTGGATTTCTACTTATCTCATCTGGCTATTAATTTGGCTGAGCTTGAGCAAGATAAGTTCCAAGGCCTGGAACTTTTTCTGTGATGATAAATAGAAAAAGAGGTAATATGCATAGAGAAAAATGAAACAGAGTCATTGAAAAAAACTTAAAATGTTATTGGGATAGAAAAACATTTTCTCTTCTTTAAAGGTGATTATCAAGATTATGTTAGAAAATCATAAAAAACATGCTTTTACAGAGAGCCAAAGGTCGACCATTTTCTAGACTTACTAAAACATGTGGAATAGAAAAATTACGTCAATAGTTTCAATTATCAAGTTTTTACACTTGGTTTATCAACTATTCCTGAACAAAAAAATTCATAATTAAAAATAAAAGTAATAGAGCACAGGAGAAATGACTGAAAAGAGTTCATCTCCTCTAGGAAATTAAGACAAACAAAAAAAATTAGAAACTGCCTATGAAATACTGCAGAACAAAGACAGCTGGTTATTGTCCTAGGCTATGAATCGGGATAACTTGGAACTCGATCAGGGGGTATTCCCAGAGGAAAGCACCTTGCTGACACCCTCCCCCACCAGCCTTTTGATCAGGTATCCCCGAGCTCGGTGTTACGCGACACCTGCTTACTTTGGCCTTATGGTCCGCAGTGCAGAACAAAGGACAAACCTTAACAGGACTCACCATAAATTTTAAGGAAGAGGATGTTCAGTGCATGGTTTTGACAATCTACACAAAAACTTGACTCGTGACAAGGGAGGTAGGCCACTATGAATTAGTGAAAGATCTATGTGAGTATATAAAGGTAAAAACAGTTTTAAAGTATATTAGAATATAAACTGATTTGCCTATGAAATGTTTTCAAAGTAGAGACTAATGTTACATAAGGCTCATTCATATATTAATTTTCCATATGCAAACAATGCTACTTATGTTCTGAAAAAAACTTGTTCACCTTAGGTGAACCTTATATTGACTGTTAATTTACCTCCTAAATAATTATCTTCAGTATATGAGAAGTTTGAAGTGGACCAAATTCTAAATTAACTAAGTGGCTATGAAGAAATTATCAGGAGTCTAAATTAGAATATTAATTAAATATTTAATTGCTAATTGTGAGTAAATGCTGTTTTTAAGAGGCTGTAAATTTTCAAAATACTGTAATTTAAAAAAAATGATCATTTCCATAAACTTAGTGAACCTCGGAGTCTAATGAATATAATTATTAGGTATTAGGTATTGTTAAAATTTAAAAGACCTTCTACATTTCCATTTTCATAGTAGTATTAGAGAATAATTCTGAAAGATGAAAATGAAACTCTGCCTGCCCCCGTCCCCTCCAAACATAATCGCTGCACAAGTCTTAGTAAAATTCACAGTATTTCCACTGATAAAACTGCAAAGATACTGCTCACTGCGCAGCCAACTGCTGTATGTTTTCTTTTGTCACAACAACTGCCTCTTATTTAAAACCCTGCCTAATAATCTATGCTAATATTTTCCAGAAGCTTTGTTACATCTATCAAAAACTAATACTGTTTTCTAAACGCTCGATGTACTACGTAATTCACCAATTCCATTTTTTAACTCTGAAACACCGCTCCTTCCTCCTCCGAGGGCGCGTGGCGTCTGCGACGGAGCCGTCGTCACCACCGAGCACTCCTCCTTGGTCTCCTGTTTTTCAATCTCTTTCTTGGATCCTATGTCTTCCTAATTCTTAATCATCCCATTTTCCTTAATTCTGCAGGAGGATTTTCTCAGAAGCTTCATCAGAAACACTGCCAGATAAATGTTATCATTTCAGCACGTGTGAACGTGTCTGAAGCCACACTACTGAGTAATAACGTGGCTGTGCAGAGAACCCCAAAATGGAAAGGCCCGGCCCTCAGGACCTCGTACCGCTCTGCTTCTGTTAAGGTGGCGAAGTGGCGGATGAAATGTCCAGCTTCACTCTGATGCAAACTTGTCTGTATGTGTTCTGCTCTCTTTCTGAAAGCTTTCAGGGTATTACGTTTATTCTCAATGTTTTTATATGTCCTGACAACAGGTATCGGATTGAGTATTTCAATCCCTGTAAAGAGTACAATCCGGACACTCAGTCTTTTTAGGTCTTAGAAATTTTTTTATTTTTTAAATATCATTTTCTTCTCTCTCTGACTCCTTTTCTTTGAGTGTTGTAATTACTAGATTGACTCTCTAAGTTTTTTCATTATTATTTTTCATCTTTGTCCTTTGTTACATTTTCTGGAAGATGTACTTGAGTTTATCTTCCAACTCTTCTACTGAAAAAAATTGAACTGAATATTGTATTTGAGATTTCTAAGAGTCCTTTCTTGTTTTCCAGTTTTTCTTTTTATAGCTTACTGCTTTGTTTAGAGAGAAAGCTTCTTCCCACTCTGACAATATCAAAGTCTTTCACAATTTTTCCTCTGCTCACAAGAATTGTGTCTAATTTCTCGAGGTCAGATTTTGGTCCCTCTCATTCGTGATTGAGACTTGCTACCAATACATAGTGATTTTTGCTGCCCTTTAATATTCAGGGTAAAGCACTACAAGCTTTTCATCATAGTGACTGGGCAACAAGCTGCCTTTGTTTTTGAGGGTCCCAAATGTGACATTTGGGCCATTTTTCAGTGACTGCTGAGTTTCTCAATAAGTATGTGACAATATTCTACTGTAAATCAACAGTATAACAATAACAAAATAACATTAAGATTTAGAAACTCCAATATTATTTGAATCTATGAAGAACAGAAAAAATAGTCTCAAATGTTTCAAATCATAGCATAACTACCTATAATTATAATTACAGTTTTTCTATCAACTAAATACAATTCTATATGGATGAATAAAACAGCTTATCTCATTAAAATATATTAGATACTTGGAGGCGTAAGAGAGCAAAGGATATAAAGATGAGGAAAGTCAAACTACTGGTAACAACCAGCTTCCTGAAAATGA